ACAAACAACTGAAAATACCACCTGACAGGTGAGCTCATACAGCAACTTGTCTGACATGGCTTTCCACAGGTTGTTAAAACTGTTAATCCCAGGCTTGTCCTTCACTGTTCTTCTATTAACATGCTGCTTGAGGAGGCTAAGTGCCACATCAATAAAGCAACTCTCCAATGAATAAGGTTAAAGCAGCAATTGCATAAGCTGCAATGCCAATGCCCAGAAGCTGTAAAAATTTATTTAAAATGACAGAGGCTCAGGCACTGCATGTCCCCACAGATCTCATATGTGCAAGAGCCCAGGTACAGACACAATAATGATATTAAATTGATAACTCTAGTAACATGTACCAACACCTCCATCCTGCCAGTACAAGCAGAGGTTTATTACAAAAGCTCTCATTTACATAAAAGCCTTTCTAGTCCTTTTCCTGAAGGTACACCAATCTGCTCCAGAAATTACTGTAAATAAAACACAGCATCCTAACATCTTCTTCAGACAAATAGTAGAAAAACACTGGGAACTCCAGAATGCAAGTAAGTAAGGCGTTAAAAATGAATAGGGGGGAGTGGGGAGGGGAATGCAAGGCCTGAGAAGTATAAAGCCATGGGTGACAGCCCACAGCATGGCTGTGTATGTCCTGCTGCTGGAACACTGCTCTGCTCTCAGCAGCTGATGTGTCTGTCTTCCCTTTCTGAATCTATGTCCTCTCCTTCGAGATCAGTACTGGCAATGTAGGCTGGAAGAACACCACCTTTGCTTGAGATGCCCTTGGGTGGTAACAGCTTATTCTTGAACTCTTGCTGTGGATTTTGAGCTCTGCAGTTCTAGTCATGTTACTGGTACCTGGCACAAATTCAAAAGGCAGTGGTACCTTAGTCACTGCTATTCACTGCTGTTTAATGTCTTGTCTGCGGCTTAAATAAAAGTAAAAATCCAGCAGGAGCCTTATGACTGAGACTGTCCTATTTGTGAAAGGCTCATGGTTGAGGTGAAAGGTGTCTTCTCAAAATACGCTAAACAACCTCTTATTTAAAAAATAAAAAGGTTTAGTCTTTTGTGTGAAGACGAACACTCCATTTGGTTATGCCTTTGCCCTGTCCATGATCACTAGCCTGGCCAAATTGAAATGGAACTATCTTGACCTGATTTCAAAATACATTGAAGTCAATAGATGTGGCTAACTGTTCTGGTTTTACTGGGATTGAATTGTAGAATTCCACTAGCAATGTGGCATACAGACCTCTCTTCAAGAGGAAAGACATGATTGCCCTATTTAAAAGGGATGGGTTGCATTCCAGGTCTTCCTTAGCTAACACTACATGGACATCTAGGTGCTTAGCAGAAAACCTTGTGCTGTGAGTCTCCTGGGGCCCACGATAGGCAGAGGGAGCAAGTGGAAAAACCCACTGTTCACTGTTCTGCCCTCCCCTTTTCATCCATTGAACAATTTGCAGTGACAGTGAAGATTAGGGCATGACTCAAAAGGAGGCAGAGGCACAGTGAGCCATTCCCAGAGGCCAAAGAGATGAATTAATTATGGAGGGAAAATTTACATATAAACATTATTCAAGCCCTGGGTCAGATAAGATCATTTGCTTCCAAAGTAAAATAAAAAGATTGAGTACAGATATGTTCCCTGAATCTCTAAAATTATGTGTAACATCACTCCTTTTTTTTTTCTTGAAGAATGAGCCCCATCTCACCTCTCTTCTGAGCTCTATTGTGAACATCCTATTTGGTCCCTATCACAGCTTTTTTTCCCAGCCACCGTTTTAAACACAAGCCTGCACCTCAACCTGCTAAAATACTTTGTTGTGATTCTCTTGGCAGAATAGCTACAAAGCCCCTAAATGCATGAGGACTTTCCATGGGAAGCAGTGTGCTTCTTCAGAAATCATCTGCCTTTTTCAGAGAGCCACTTGCTCAAAGAATGCTGCCTCTGCCTGTTTTTGGAGCCGAAGCACCAGCATTCCCTGATGTTCTCCTAGCTCCTCCTCCCTGGTCCACTCAGTACTCGGGTTTTGACTCTGCTGCAGTTGGCTGTGCACATCTGCAACCTGTGAGTGCCCCAGCCCTGCAACTTGCAGTCAGCCTCCAGAAAAGGCTTCAGCCTGCCCCACATCTCTTCTGAAGCCTTTCTGTGCTAGAAGCTTTCAGACTTATTCTTGGAGAATCCAGACCCTGAAATGGGTGTTCCTAGGGTACCTCATAGCACAAGTACAATTAAGACCACCTCTACTTGCTAACAATTCTTATATTCTCTAACAGGGAAAGTAAAAACTGCCTCTGGCACATCATCTGAATGCTCTTTGGTATATTTCTGTAAAACTTTTTACCTTTCAGTTTTTTGTTTTTAGATACATTTCTTCATTGTTCTTATTTTAATCACATGCCACTGTGCCACTCCAAAGTGCTCCCATACAATATCATCCCTTATTCTTTGTTCAGGTCTATGAGTGTTCCCATGTGTAACGTGGACAATCTTTCTAGCAGCAGTAATGCTGGGACTCTGTTCAAAATTAACACATGCTTGATGCCTGTGTATAAAATGTCTGAGTGAAGAGGGCTCTGAGTCTTCCTGTGAGTCACCTTAAGCAGCGGAGAGCTGCGCTGCAGTCAGGCAGTGCAAGAGGCGGGGTGGGGAGTCGTGCCCTCTGCAGCCTACGTGCATCGCATCACACAGCCCAGCAGCACGCTCAACTCAGGCTGCCTCACACCACCGAATAGACACGCACCATTTCATTCCTAATCTAAAAAAAGATTACTTCTGCCATTTTCCAGTAGAAAAATATTATGTAAAAACCGAGGATGCTGAGGAGTATTAGATGATTTTCAATTTGACTGGAAAATGTTAAGGAATAATTAACATGTCAGCAAGTCAGATGTTTCTGCTTACAACGTGTTAAAGCTATGCACACAATTAAAACAAAAAAAACACGCAAACGTGTCTTTATTTTGCAAAAGAAAAAAATCTCACTGGAACCAGGGCTAGTAACCCTTTTTGCAATTGCAAAGCCGATGCCTGTAGCCCTTTTTGGCCCTGATCCTGCAAAAGCCAGTGGGAGCGCTACAGCGATAGCACCACATGCGCTGATACCAGCTCATG